AGTTTATACAATTCAGCACACTCACATGCACAGTCTGATTTAAAAATAAAGTCTGAGGCACCTGAGCGGCTCAGTTGGTTAAGCATCTGCCTTTGGCTCAAGTCATGATCCCAGGGTCCTGGCATTAACCCCCAGGTCAGACTTCTGCTCAGCAGGGAGTCCGCTGCTTCCTCTCCTTCTGCTTCCCCAACACCGCCCCCCCCCACCGCCGCCGTTGCTCACTCAAATAAATAAAATCTTTTTTAAGAATAAGAAAATCTGGAGGTGCCTGGGTGGCTCAGTCAGTAAAGCATCTGCCTTCAACTCAGGTCATGATCTCAGGGTCCTGGGATCGAGCCCCGCATCAGGCTCCCTGCTCAGCGGGGAGTCTGCTTCTCCCTCTCCTGAAGCTCGCTCTCGTGCACTCCAACTCTCTAATATAAATAAAATATTTTAAAAAGTTGAAATAAAATCAGAATAGACATTTTTCCAAAGAAGGCATACCAGTGCCTACAGACACATGAAAAGATGTCTAGCATCAGTCATGATCAAAGAGATGCTAATCAAAACCACAGCAAGGTATCACTTCACACTCGTCAGAATGGCTGGAATCAAAAAGTCAAGAAATAAGTGTTGGCGAGGACGTGGAGAAAAAGGAACCTTGTGCACTGCTGCTGGGAATGCCAATGGTTACAGCCACTATGGAAAACACTAAGGAGGTTTCTCACAAAGTTAATAATAGAAATACCATATGATCCAGTAATTCCACTGTCAGGTATGTACTCAAGGAAAACAAAAACATGAATTCTAAAAGATACATGTGCCCCTATATTTATTGCAGCATTATTTACAAGAGCCAAGATAGGGAAGCAGCCCAAGTGTCCATGGATGATGAATGGATAAAGAAGAGGAGATATAGGGGCATCTGGGTGGCTCAGTGGGTTGAGCCTCTGCCTTCGGCTCAGGTCATGATCTTAGGGTCCTGGGATCGAGCCCTGCGTCAGGCTCTCTGCTCAGCGGGAAGCCTGCTTCCTGCCACCCCTCTGCCTGCTTCTCTGCCTACTTGTGATCTCTGTCAAATTAAAAAAAATCTTTAAAAAATAAAAGTAAAGAAGATGGGATATATATACACTGTGGATTATTATGCACACATTAAAAAATATATATATGACATCTTGCCCTTTGCCACAACATGGATGGAGCTGAGGGTACTATGCTAAATGAAGTCAAATATATTATTTCACTTGTATATGCAATCTGAAAAACAAAAAGCAGAAATAGACTCATAAATACAGAGAGCAGACTGATGGTTGCCAGCGGGGAGGATGGGGGGGGGACTTGGCAGAATGAGCAAAAGGGAGCGGGAAACACAGACTTCCAGGTACAAATGAGCAGGGCACAGGAGCAGAAGGTACAGCACGGAGAGTACAGTACCAGCGTTGCATGGGGACAGATGGGAGCAGAGTGTAACATAGAGAGGAGTCGGATCACTAGGTTTGGTACCTGAAACTAATATTGTGTGTCAACTGTCCTTCATAAAAAAAAAAAAAAATCAATTTCGAAAAATAAACAGCTTAAGGGTACAGGTGTGTGCGTTTCTCAGGCAAAAAGTTGACAGGAAAAAGAAAATGTAAGGCTCGGAAACCAGCCTAGAAAGGAGACCTCAGAAATGCAGGGTCTCTTCTTTGATGCCCTCTGCACATGGCTCTGGGAAGCCCACGTTGGAGGCTTCCCTTGTAGGGTCCCCCCGGGCTCTCAGGCCTCCCCCCGCCACAGTGCAGTCCAGCCTCAGAAAGGGCTTCTTGGTTAGTTAGGAAACAGACTGCTTGTGATCTGCTATTTTCCTTTCTTTCTCTGTGTTCATGCTTTATATAATTTTAATTATGAAAAAGCTTTGCAATCTTTGATCCCATGTGTGCCTTACTGCGTTGTTTCCATCATAAACTTAAGTCCTTGGGTTTAAGTGGAAACAAAAATACATTTCCAGCTCACCGGCTCCCAGACATAAACACCCATGAGTGGAATAAGTAACATTGTGGGATTAGGCCACAGAAGAACAGATCTTGGCTCATGATGGGGTTCTGTCCCAATAAACCCATCCTAAGTGGAAAATATCCTAAGTGGAAAGTTCATTTAAGACACTCAGTCTGCCAGACATCATGGCTTCTCCTCACCTGCCTGGAAGGGCTCAGGACACTGACCGCAGCCTACAGTTGAGCGAGATCATCTAACATCAAGTTTATTTTTTTAAAAGATTTTATTTATTTGCCAGAGATCACAAGTATGCAGAGAGGCAGGCGGGGGGCAGGCTTCCCACGAGCAGAGAGCCCGATGTGGGGCTCGATCCCAGGACTCTGAGATCATGACCGGAGCTGAAGGCAGAGGCTTTAACCCACTGAGCCACCCAGGCGCCCCCATGCTTATTTTATAATGAAGTGTAAGTCATTGGACAGCTTACTGAAAGTGAAAAGCTGAGTGGTCACCGGGGTAGAGAAGGGTCTTATGTGTACCGTGATTGCGTCGCTGAGCCCAAGGTGGCTCGCTGCCATCCTGAGAGAGGCTCCTACCACGTGTCTCTAGCCCAGGGAAAGACCCCAATTCAGAATTCCAGTCAGAGCTTCTGTGGAATGCGTACCTCCTTCACACCATCAGAGTCAAAAATCCCTAAGTCAGACTCTCCCACACGGGGGTCTGTCTGTCCCTGAATACTCTGTCACACGTGTATCTTCAGGTCTCAGCATTTAAAATATCCCGTATCCTCCCCAAGCACCGCATGCTCTGGGCAGAAACCCTGGAGTGGCTGTGGACAGAGGGTGGCGCCAGTGACGTCCTGTCTGTCATCCCTTGTCTGAGACCGGGCTGAGCTCCCTTGTCAAAGCTCCGAGTCCCGTTTCTGTTTCTAGAGCCCCAAGGCCAGGGTTGGTTGAATCTCAGGTCCCCTCAAAAGTTGCTACTGTTTTGGGCCCTGATACCGTAAGCAGCCCTTCTTCATGCTGGGAAGCTGGGGGGACGTGGCATGGGTCCCCCATCCAGTGCTTTGCGGTGTCCTGATGGGAGAGTCAGCGGCTGCTTGGATCTCTCCAGTGATGAGTCGTGAAGACTGGACGGTTCTAATCTAAAGGAAAATTACAGCATGTCTTGTACTAAGTACAGGGATAACAGAACTGCTTTCTGCAGGCTTCTTACTGCGGCTGAGCAGGGAGATGCTGTGCTTTCAGATTCCACACGGACTTAAAGACCTGTCAGGCCACCTCATTTTATGATGCTTATAAATTAACACAAAACCGACACATTCGTGTAACCCACCATGTCATCCCAGGGTGATGTTATAACATGGACAGAGAGCTGGCAGTTCCTCCCCCACGTAGACATTCGTGTACCCTGGAGGTGACAGTGGGTGTTTGTGCAAGTTTACAGAAACTTCTACAACATCCTCAGTTTAAAACAAAACAAAAACCTCATGAAGTGTGAATAGAAAGGCTTTTTTATGACCAGAGCTGGATAGGACTCCTTTATTTTTAGTAATAAGGAGAGTATATTTTATTATAAAGCCTCATTTGTTTTTACTAAATTATCCATTTAACCCATTTTGAAAAATACCCAAATGTTACTTTTTTCAGATGGTAATTTATATATAGGAAGTCTTTTTTTTTTTTATAAAGATTTTATTTGACAGAAAGATCACAAGCAGGCAGAGAGGCAGGCAGAGAGAGAGGGGGAAGCAGGCTCCCCGCCGAGCAGGGAGCCTGATGCAGGACTCGATCTCCGTACCTGAGCCAAAGGCAGAGGCTTAACCCACTGAGCCACCCGGGCGCCCCTATATATAGGAAGTATCTACAACATTCTGAGTCATCTGGGGATATCAATTTATCAGCAGTAATTGATAAAGTCCTGTGGTTAAAAGAACTCTGGGATTCGCTGCCACAGTGATAGCTCTAAGACGCCTTTTCTAGATCAAAATACCCATTTTCCTGGCCATTTTCAAGGAGTCTTGGGTTTGAAGCCCTTCCCTTAGGTGGGCCATCTCAGGCATGGTCTCAGTGGGTCATGGCCTTCTCCAGGTTTACCATTCGAACCCAGACACAAACCTCCAACTGTGATCGAGAGAACAAGAACAGAACCTGATGTCCTGGGGCTGTAATGATGAGGAAATCAATGGACTTAGTCTGTCTCTAAAAACTGAACACAGTACTGCCTCCCCCGATGTAGCTTGGTTTCACTGTCATGGGTTGAATTAGCAGTCTCTGACCTTAAATGGTTACCATTTTGGTTTAAATATTTGCCAGACAGGGGCACCTGGCTGGCTCAGTCAGAAGAGCATGCAGCTCTTGATTCTTGGGGTCATGAGTTCGAGGCCCACGTTGGGTCTAGAGATTATAAATAAATAAACAACAAAAAAATTTGCTGTGAGCACCTGCAGTGAGTGTCCAACTCTTAGGTTCATCTCAGGATCCTGGGATCGAGCCTTGCCTCTGGCTCCGAGCTCTGTGTGGAGTTTGCTGGGGATTCTGTCTCCTTCTCCCTTTCCCTCTGGTGCTCTCGCACTCTCTCCTGCTCTAAAATAAATCTTTTAAAAAAAAATTGCTGGACATATTTTTACTCCCCTGTTGCAAAATAGTGCTTGAAAATGAACACAGCATTCATGAGTTCAAGACTATGTTCTGGTTCTGACGGGCTTCGCGCCTGCTAGACCACAGCGCATGCCCACAGCCCTGTGCACTTGGAGGTCAGGACTGCACCTTAGCCAGCACTATTTCCTTCTGAGCCCTAGCACAGTGCAGTGATGTAGGGGGAACTCGATACACCTTGCTGTAATTACAAGTTCTGGGTCCACCAGAGAAGCCGATGCCATGCTAATCATCGCAGAAGATCGCCGACCCTAATGCACGTTTCCCAGGTACAAGACATCAGGAGAAATAACGAATTCGTGTTCCCATTTATGAGGAGCAGTTATCAGTCAATGCCCAAACTTAGTCTTACAGCTGCTTTCTTTTTTTTTTTTTTTTACCCCCTCCCCCCAGTAAGTGAACACAGTGACCGTGAGACATGAACACAGTTGTGGATGAGAAGTTTCCCTACTCCGGAATTACCCAGAGGAGCTTGGCTGACCCCCACTGCACACGGAGTGATAATCAACCGGATTTAGGAATTTGCAAGGTGTCAGGGGAGCCTTGGTCCATAGGCTGACCAGCAGATGTGATGTGAAAAATACCACACTATTCTATCATTTGCTGTTGCTTGCTCAACTGTGGAGAACTGCATGAACTCGATTTCAGCTGCTTTCATTGCCAATCACCATTTGGGACTTGGAAGTGCTATTTTCCTATTGACACTTGCATTTTTTCGTTTTGCATGCATCCAATGATTATACATAAGCACCACATGTAATCTGCTTATTTTTTAAAAATCCATCCATGCAAAATGGTAAATAAAGTCTAAATTCTGCTCTTTTTTGCAAATTATAATCATAGCCCATGTCTTTCAAAGTTTAACTTGGTTTCATATAAAGATCAGTGTAATAGGTCTGCATATACTTTATAGAAAACTAGCTTCTATAAAGATTTTTTCACTGTTTACTAGTGAAATGAGAAAAGCAAAGCTATTTATAAAAGGCCTTATGTCGTGTACATACGTTGTCTTTGAAATATTTGTGATTTAGTTTATTGCTTGTAAAAGAGAAATTATATAATTTATTTAGTAAATACTATTGTAAACTATAGTTTTATTGAGAGAAATAAAATATTTTGTTCTCAGTTGTGGTAGTACATTAATTCCGGTGGTTTATGGTCTTTATATTTCTTGTATTAATTAACTAGATAACCTTGATACTCCTCCATTTTTAAGATGTTCAGGGATCCTACGTAAACTGACTCATGATAGATGGAGAGAAAATTCTCTGGGTCCTGAGAAGACACCGTAGCAGATTGTACTCAACTTGCTCTTGAGACTTTCCCAAATATCCTGGTGTATTTGTCAGTTCTCACTCTGTTACACTGTGGTAACAAACAATCCCCAGATCTCTGCATAGGCATCAAGAGCAGATCCTATCTAGGACACGCCCTTTATTTATTGGGGGTGGGCGGGGAACCAGTAGTGAAACTGGCAATGAGAGCTTTTAAAGCTCCCACTTTAGGTGTGGCTTACAGAACTTCTGCTCACATGGCACAAGCCAAAGCAAATGACAGTGACAGGATAGATGTCAGGAGTGGCAACTTCTTACCAAGGAATGGACTCAGCAGAAAGGGGCAGTGAATATTTTAAGCAATTATTGCTTAAATCTACACAATTTCATTAGTGTCTCAAACAGCAAAGGCTTAAAAGGCTGCCTAATCATGTAATCAGGAAAAAAAAAAAGTCATTAGAAAGTAATATGACTAAAACTGCAGAAAGACATTCCTGATGATTAAGATGCTCAAGTTCAAGCAAGCCGAGTCTTAAAAGCAAACATGATATTAACTTTCGCAAATGTGACCCAGAACCGTGGTTACTCAGTGTAAGTAGCAATTTTGCGTGCAGAGTTGGTACTGGCAATCTATCCTGGGTTGGGATTTCAACCAGGAATTCTAATGAAATAGACCACTGAGGATTCTTTGCTTCTCTTTCCTTAGTATTCCTAGGTGCTAGCAGATACTCTGAGTACAGAGGTTTACCTAGCAGGGATCCCACTTTTCCCCTCTCCAATTTTAAATCTACCCATTTATCTAACCTACAGACTCTTTCATGTGCCCTCTCCTGGTGGGGTTGACGCCTCTCCATCAATGCCCAGAAAGTAACTTACTCTGATTTCTATTATCATGGATTAGTTTTCCCAGTTCTAGTACTTCATATAAATAGAATCCTATAGTACATACTCTTTATCTGGCTTTTTGTTATTTTTCAATGTTATGTAAGACTTGTTATGTTGTGTATAGTAGAAGCTCATTCTTTTAAAAGAAAAAAAAAGAAGAAGCTGCTCATTCTTTTTCACTGTTGAGTAGTATTCCATTATATGAATATTCCACAGTTTTCTGCTCTACTGCTGATTAGCATTTGGGGAGATTCCAATTTAAGACTATAATGAATGAGGAGACCCTCCAGACCTCTTCCTTCACACAGCTCCAAGATACAGACAATTTGACTTCTAGCATCTATACCAGATATGGAAGAATTTTCCAAGAGAAATATCACTATCAGGATATAGATTATCCATCCTCTAATTTCCCTCGGATAGTCTGAGTTTGTGCCCAACACTCAGGCAAAAAAGTACATTCTTATATGTTTAAAAATGTTGTCTTATGGACCACTAAAATATAGTTACCTTACCAAGGGAGGAAGTTTAAAGATAGTAACATTGGAGACTCCCCAGCAATTGACTCAGCCATGGCACCGTACCGTGAATTTGAGCTGCAAGCCTTCCCTCACCACCAGTGCTCACAGCATTTAGTCCCCACTCTTAATGAGCAGCCAACCAAGGATCACAAAAACATCTCAGGAAATTCTCTGAGACTGAAATACACCAGCAGGAAATTGGGGCCTGGGGGAAACAGGGACTATAGGAAGCAAACTTTGGGGTGCCTGGGCTGACTCAGTTAGTGGAGCATGTGACTTGATCTCAGGGCTGTGGGTTCAGGTCCCATGTTGGGTGTAGAGATTACATGAAAATACAATCTTAAAGAAACAAACCAAACTTCAAAAGAAAAATTAGCATTACATCTTTACAGGAATCAAATTATATGGCATCTGTGAAATAAAATCAGATACTACAAAAATGAACATTTAGAAAGCATAAAAAAAAAATGAGGAAAGTAAAAGCGTGTTGGCAGAAGTTAGAGTTTCTTGAGTTCTTGTAACCAAACGGGTTTAAGATTGGAGTTTAAAGGTCAGTGGGCTTAGCTGAGATATGGTCCATGCTGTTTGTCCATGGCTTGCCTGCTCTTCAAGAACAGTACAGTACTGTTGGACCCATGGACATACAGCATGGAAACAGGGATCTGAGGAACACCAGGGGCACATAGCGCAGAGGCTAGTCACTCATCTCAGAGAATGAACTGGCCGGTGCCGTTTCACTCCCCTATCCCTCAGCATCAGCATAGGATCACCAGCAGGAACCAACACAGCACCAACACTCACTACCTAACTTGATTACACGGAGCCCTGCCCCCTGTGCTCCAGTGGAACCACCCATGCTAGTCACACTTGCCTCAATCCCAGCATGGAGGGGACCCCCTCCCCCAGAAGATGAGCCTCAAACCTCCACTCCCTGGACATCTCTTGATTAGAGACTTCTGCAAGGCCTTGGTTCCAGCAGCAGTAGTGGTAGGTCTCATTTTACAAAAAGAGCACACCTTGTTAAAATGTGCCACATTCAGGCCAGGGGAAAAAACACTGCCCACAACAGGCAAAAAGAACCTCTGCAGATGACTGGCCTGAAAGATAAAGCAGCTGGGACACAAGAGCAGAGCTGAGGCAGCATACATTAGAGACATTCCTGGAAGCACCCTGGTAACAGGGCCCTGGGGAACAGGGGACACTACGTGGCAAAGCACTAGAGGATCTCTTCTTCATAAGGCCATCACCCTCAAGAACAGGAGATGTAGATGACTTTCCAAACACACAGAAACAGGCAAAATTAAAATACAGAAGAATTTGCCTCAAATGAAAGAACAGGACAATGGCAGAGCCAGAGATCTAGGAAAAATAGATGTAAGTCACATGCCTAATGGAGAATTTAAAGCAGTGATCATAACGATACTCACTAGACTTGAAAAAGAGTAGAAGATAACAGTGAGACCATTAACACAGAGATAAGGAATAACGAAGCTGAGATAAAGGGTTCAATTAACTAAATGAGAAACACACATGATGGAATAAACAGCAGGCTAGAAGAAGCAGAGGAACAAATTAATATCCTAGGAGACAGACTAATAGAAAGTAATCAAGCTGAATAGAAGAGAGAAAAAAGAATTACGTGAAACAAAAATACACATCGGGAACTCTGACTCCATCAAACATAGTAATGTTTGTATCATAGGAATACCAGAAAAATAAGAGAGAAAAGGTGGTGGGAAATCTGAGGAAGTAGTACTTGAAAACTTCTCTAATATGGGGAAGGAAACAGATATCCAGATCCAGGAGGCACAGAGCACACCCTCCCAATAAAATGTACAAAAGTAAATCTACAACAAGAGACATTATAATGAAAATGGCAAAATATAGTGATAAGGAAAAAAAATTTTAAAAGCAGCCAGACAAAAGTAAACCATTACATGTAAGGGAAACCCCATAAGGCTATCTGATGATTTTTCAGCAGAAACTTTCCAAGACAGAAGGGACTGGCATGATATATTCAAAGTGCTCAATGGGAAAAATCTGCAGCCAAGAATACTCTATATAGTAAGGCTATCATTCAGAATATGAGAGATAAAGAGCTTCCCAAACAAAAAACTAAAGGAGTTCATGACCATTAAACTAGCCCAGCAAGAAATATTAAAGGGGATTCCTTGAGTGGAAAGGCCAAATTGATAGTATGAAGAGAAGAAACACAAAAGCAATAGAAGTGAGTATTTCTGGAAAAAAAAACCAGTCAAGGAACTCAAAAAATAAAAGGTTCTAAAATAGGATACCATTTACCTAAAATGTCGGGAGGAGAGGAATAAAGAATGGGCTCAAACTTAAGCGACCATCAACTTAATACAGACTACTGAATGTAGAAGATGTTATATACAAATTTAATGATAATCACAAGGAACAAAGGCAAAGAAATCCAAATATGTCACTTAAGAAGACCAGCAAACCATGAAAAAGAGAAAATAAAGGATGAGAGTTAATCTTCCATAACAACTGTAAAACAATAAAATGGAATAAATACACATTTACCAATAATTACTTTGACTAGAAAGGGACTGATGCTCCAATCAGAAGGGGGAGGAATCAGAGAGGGAGATGAATCATGAGAGACTATGGACCCTGGGAAACAAACTGAGCATTTCAGAGGGGAGGGAGTTGTGGTAAAGGGGTAGCAGGGTGACAGGTATTAAGAAGGGCATGTGTTATGATGAGCACTGGGTGTTATGCATCAATGATGAATTGTTGAACACCACATCAAAGACTAATGATGCACTATACAGTGGCTAAATGAACATAATAGGGAAAAAAAAATGTTCCAATCAAGACATAGGGTGACAAAATGGACTAAAAAACAAGACCCAGGAACTCCCAGTGGCTGAATCACTATAACGTGAAACTCTTGATCTGGGGGCTGTGAGTTTGAGCCCCATGCTGAGTGTAGAGAGTATATTTTTTTAATTAAGGAAAAACAAAAACAAAAAACAAAACAACAACAAAAAAAACCAAGACCCATCCATCTATACACTGCCTTGAAGAGACTCTTTTTAGACCTAAAGACACCTACAGATTGAAAGTGAGGAGAATGGAGAGACATTTATCATACAAAAGGATGGCAAAGGAAAACTAGATTAGCAGTACTTATAGCAGACAAAATAGACTTTAAAGCCAACTAAAAAGAGACAAAGAAGGACACTATATAATCATAAAGGGAACAATCCAACAGGAAGATATAACAACTGTAAGTATCTATGCACCCAACACAGGAGCACCTAAATACACGAAACAGTTAATGACCAACATCAAGAAACTAATTATAATAATACAGTATAAATAGAGGACTTTAAAACCCCCCACTTATATGAATGGACAGATCATCTAACCAGAAAATCAACAAGGAAACAACAGACTTGAATGATATACTGGATCAGAAGGATTTAATAGCCAT